TGGTGTCACAAAACACTCATTTTTAGTTGGTGAAGTATCAACAGAAATATACCACAATACAATAACTCTTGTTATTTAAACATACTCTTCATCAAGTCAAATTAATTTCTTAATAAGAATAAGAAATATCTCTAATGACACACATAAACAATGTGTTAATGACCAATAAGTATTTGATATTCTAAATCAGAGATAGTAAGATAAAATACAACTGTTGTCAAAAACATTTCTTATTATCATAGTATATTCATGGTTGCTCTATTTCAATTAAAACAATTTTAATTAGGGTCAAACATAAACAACATTGGTTTAGTTGTTCAATATTTAAATTGTTAAATAAACAACATTGTTATGATAATACAATATTTTAATAAACTTGTCAGAGTTATCAAAGTGTCAAAAAAACATAGTTAGAAGAATATTATTTGATAAACCAAATTATAAGGAAGAAAAATGAATAGATGACGATGAATTAAGTTAAAAGAATAAACAAATAAATGAAGACAAATAAAGATAATATAAGAATGAAATAATGAATAAAAAAATAAAAGAGATAATTATGATTTTAAAAGATAAGAATTGAAAATAAAAAAAATGATTTATACAAATATAATAATAAGAAAATAAGTTCAAAAAGAAAGAAAATAAATATTGAATTGATTTAGTTCTCAAATACGATTTGCTTCAGCTTTGTTAATATCATCATCAGTTATAATTTCATATTGTTTCAAACGATTTAAAGCAGAAAATCCTTCATCTTTCAAGATTTGATAATGAGAATGAATTAAATCAAGAATTGCATAAATGATATAAGGATCTTTCATGATAGTATTTGCATAATCAGAATTTAAAATAATTAAATTACAAAGTATTCTTGTTGCTTCATAAGCTACTCTGACATCTCTCACTTCTCTTGTAGAATTTTGAGGAGTTATTTTCTGTTTTAATAAACGAACAGTGTATCCAGCTGTTTCTATAATAGCATTAAGAGCAGTTGGAATACTCATAAAAAGTTCAGCACGATGAGATGAATTTAAAATTAAACGAGATATAATTTGTTGAATATTAAAAATAATGACTTGGTTAGTTGAAATTTTATACCAATCATTAAGAACAACAAAAATGTTAAGATCAAAAGCTAAATAATCTCTATTTTCATGGAGTACAGATATAGAATTAATTAATGATAAAGACATAAGTAAAGCACGTTCATCATTTAGA